AGAGAGAGAGAGAGAGAGAGAGAGAGAGAGAGAGAGAGAGAGAGAGAGAGAGAGAGAGAGAGAGAGATCTGATGGGATTGCAACTCCCCTAAACCAGGGTCATGCAATAATGGGAAAGGGCCAGGCAACCCAGGCAATTAGTGCTCTGACTGAGTGTTAAGTCACTTCTCATGGTTGGGAAGGCCTACTCCATAATTAGCATTTCTAAGTTGTCAGTGCTAAGTCAATTGTTTTGTTGTCATAATTAGCATTTCTAAGTTCTCTGCCGCTGCACACACTTGGGTGGACGTAACGATCGGCTGCCGGACTGCCAGAGACGAGAGGAGGGTGACTAAATCACAAAACAGCTGCTTTCAGCTGAAGCCTGCTCAACCCAGTACTAACTACTTAGTATTGGTTGGGTGCTAAGTGCTCTGCCAAGTGCTGAGTGGAGAGCAATTAGATCATATAGATGGAGATACTGGAGAGTTATTAACTTATTAGGTCACAAAACAGCTCTCTCAGCTGAACCTTCTCCTGAACCTTCTCCTGAAACCTTCTGCTGAACCTTCTTCTGAACTTTCTCCTGAGTGAGTACTACCTACTTAGTTAGTATTAGGTGCTAAGTGGTGCTGACTAAGAGAGGAGAGAAGCTAAAAGCTAGGTACTAAGTGCGGTGCACTGGAAGAGAGGAGGGCAATCCTTTGGTTGGCCTTTTATGGCTTTGCCGTGGGCCCCATACTCTAACCGCTCGGAGGTGAGCTGGCGGAGCTGAGCTGAAATGATTGGCTGCGCGCTGCTGATTAATGGGTTCAACAACCCACATATCATTTCCAAGAAGCGGAGCTAGCTGAGCTGAGTTGAGCTGAGCTGGAGTGACTGGCTGAGCTGAGCTGGAGTGACTGGCTGAGCTGAGCTAATTTGAACTGATGAGCTGACACAGCTGGCTGACCTGAGCTGAGTTCAGCTGAGCTGGCACAACTGGCTGAGCTGAGCTGGCATGCAGTCAGGTGAGCTGGCATGATGGGCTGGGATGAGCTGAGGTGGGATGGGCACAATCAGCTGGCTGATAACCCTGAGAATAGAATTGCTCGACAAATTGTCGACAGTCGGGTGCTCTCGACAATCAACTGATGATTGATGATTTCACCAAAACAATTCAATGGATCCCGAGCGGGGATGAATTCACAAATTTCAATCTTTTTATCCTTAACAGAGCTTGATTGATCCTGTTCTCAATCTCAATCTTGATTGCTGCTTATTTTGTACCATATCTTAATCTCCCCTTTATCTTCTTGCCTCTCCATCTGCTTTGTTAGTCTCAACCGACCGACCGAACCGACCGACCGACCGACCGACCGAATGCCCGTGGATTCGTATGCTAAGTATGCAAACTGCTCTTTCGAGTCCGTCGATTTAGGCTCCTTCCCGTCTGCTGACTGTGTACACAACTGCTGGTTTTGTAGCTTTTCTTAATCCGCCTCCATCTTCTTGCCTCTCCATCTGCTTTGTAAGTCTCACCCAACCGACTGACTGACCGCTCCACCGACCGACCGACTGCGCGCTGATGGATTCCTACTGCTAAAGTATGCAACTGTGCTCTTCTGAATCCATCCATTTAGGCTCCTTCCCGCCTGCTGACTGCGTAGACAATGAGACCAGCGCTGCTTGCTCTTGCTCATCAAGGTTGACCTTCATCAATCGTCATCTATCGCGATCATGATCTTGAAATTGATTGAGACCTTAATCTTGATTGCCACTGATGGTTGTTGGCCTGCGATTGATTGCTCCCAGTTTCTTCATTCTGCTGACAAGTGCCTGTCAGAACAGAGGCTGACAGCTGTCTGTCAGAAAGGCATAATGACAAGTGCCTGTCAGAACAGGCAGGCTGACAGCTGTCTGTCAGAAAAGGCATGCTGCTTGTCCACCATCCACCTTACCCGTCTCCCTCTCGTCCCATTCTGCTGACAAGTGCCTGTCAGAACAGACAGGCTGACAGCAGTCTGCCAGAACAGGCACAATGACAAGTGCCTGTCAGAACAGGCAGGCTGACAACAGTCTGTCAGAAAAGGCACGCTGCTTCTCCACCATCCACCTTACCCCTCTCCCTCTCGTCTCATTCTGCTGACAAGTGCCTGTCAGAACAGACAGGCTGACAGCAGTCTGTCAGAACAGGCACAATGACAAGTGCCTGTCAGAACAGTCAGGCTGACAACAGTCTGTCAGAGTAGGCACATCGACAACTGTCTTTCAGAACAGGCAGGCTGGCAACTGTCTGTCAGAACAGCCACGCTGATTGCCCACCACCCACCCTACCTTTCTCCCCGTCCTCCCACCCTCTGCCCCCTCTCCACATCCATTGTTTATCCTACGGCACCTGTTAGTCTGACAAGTGGCTGTCAGAACAGGCACACTGACAACCGTCTGTAGGAAGCGCCACTTCATTTTCGGAATTGGATAGTATCTCCATCTGCCCTCTCTTTCCCCTCTGTGGCCCAAACTCTCCCTCTCCTCACCTCTCCCTTCCCTCCTCACCTCTCCCTCCCTACTCACCTCTCCCTACCTTCTCACCCATGGAATGAACATGTAGCTGTGTCAACAAATCAAAGGGACAGTGTGATGATGATGATTAAGTAGGTCCTCCTCTCCGCATGTCCCCTCTGTTATAATTCGAATTTGTGAGTTTATAATCCCATTTGCAGTCCATGTGTAACCCATTTCTGATCACATCCGTAATCCATTTGCAATACATTTGGCTTCTGCTGATGATTACACCCGTCTTTCCTTCACATCCCACTGAGGCTCAACGAATGGCATGTCGTGAGAGCGGAGGCTTTCTTCGCTAGCGAAAGATGTAGTAGTTAACGTACAAATGGGAGAAGTAGGTACTCTGCATAGAAAAGCTGCAACAAAAAGCCGAAACACAGAAAGGATACATGTGTCAGTGAAAGGATCTTTTTTCTATTTTAAAGAAGACTAAGAAGTAGAAATAAAAATCTTAAAAATAAACTGTTTGAATTTCAAAAGAACGATAGTCCACTCTATTGGTGGGGAGTCTCACCTGCTGGAGGGCTCTACCTTGTTTTTCTTTCTTCAATGAAGTTTTTAACAAAGTTGGGTTAAGATACTTGACTCTTGAGGCCAAGGTCGCCGGTTCGAATCCGTGCTGCACGGAAGAGGACGTCGGGCTGAGGACTGGGATGGGCGGCGCCATCCTGTAACCTCAGCTGTTGGGAGCTAGATGTGCAGATCCTTGTAGCTGCTCTAGTCTATTGGTCCAGGATCAGTATTGCATACCCAGATGGTCGGCAGCCCTTGACTGGTCGGCACCTACTGGTCGGGGGTCGTTGGGACCCCGCAAAAAAGAAAAAAAAATAAAATAAAATAAAAAATGGGCCCAGAACCCCTAACAACCCCACCAACACCCCCATAGCGGCCCCCAATATCCCCATACATCACGCCAACACCCCCAAAACGCCCCCAACACCCCCAACACCCTCATTACGCCCCCCCAATACCACCTATACCCCCCCCTCAGATTAAAAAAAAAATCAGTGGATGGTTGTTTTCTGACTGGTTGGCCCTACTGGTCGGCTGCAATACAGTCGGCAGTCAGCTTCGGCGGTCGGGAGGTATGCAACCCTGTCCAGGACTGCATTTTTCAACAAAAAAAAAATCACAAAACTTCAAAAAGTGAAAAAAGCCCTCCATCAAGAATAACTTGAATAAGTTGAATAACGGTACAATAACCAAAAAAAAAAAAAAAAAAAAAAAAGCCCTCCCAATGTGGCTGATCGGTACACCCATGCAAGTGTTGTTCATACACAGGCCTGAGTTCAAACTTCAAATCCTGACAGAACCGACAAGCGTGGTAGCTCAGTGGGTTAGAGCTCTGGAGTTGAGCACCGGAGGTTGCCGGTTCAATTCTGTCAGCCCTCAACCCCCTACGCACATTCAGTTGGCCTAGGTGGGCACCCGACGTACTCGTCTCCCAGCCTAGCATAGCACATAGGTGGATCAGCAGTTGTAGCAGCACAGTGGGTTGGAGGTAGGTGCCGCAAGGGAGAGGTGTAGGGTTCGATTCTGATCGGCCCTGTACGTCACATAGTTCAGGTATAGCTTGGGTGCAGGCAGGAATGGGCCGAAGGTTTCAGTCGTGATGACGATGATGATGATCTCCATCGCCCACCCCTCCTCCGCCAACTCCCCACCCCATTCCTCCTCCCCCAACTCCCCCCCTCCCCCCTCCCCAACTAAAATTTGTGAACGATTAAAAGCCATAAAAGAGCCGGGATTTGGCCAGAACTGGGTGGGTACAGAGATCCCACACAATCTCATGAAAAGAAGGGTGGGAGGGCGGGGGAGGGGGGGGGGGTTGCAGTGGGGAGGATATTTTCGGCATCCCTGGGATACCCCTGGCAGCTGGACGGCCGTTTGCCCCTGATAACTGAGTTTATTTAACTTTATTATTAATTTATTATGCTTACCTTCCAAACGAACATGTAATAATTGGTGAGGTCGTCCTTGGTGAAAGTCTGCTTGTTTGCTTGGTTCCAGAGGATGGTGGCCATCAGCAAGTGACTCCCAATCTGCAATCAAACCAACCAACCCCGACAATCACCCCACCTCTCTTCTCCCTCCCCAGTCTGCACACACCCTACCAACCACCACCCATAACACTTCTTTCATGCCTGTCACCCCCCTTCCCTACAGCCCCCCCCCTCCCCCACCGCTCTCTTCTCCCTCCCCACTCCCCACACACCCTACCATCCACCCAGAACCCTTCTTTCATGTTCATCACACCCGTTCCCTTACCCACCCCTCCCTAGCCACGAAAAAAACAACGAAACCACCGAAAACAACGAAACCACCGAAAACAACGAAACCACCGAAAACAATGAAACCACCGAAAACAACGAAACCACCGAAAACAACATAAACAATGAAGACCATTAAAACAACGACGACAACGAAAAACAATGATAATCAGTCTTCCTTGGTTCGGTTGTTAATAAAGTGGTTCTCTTCACCTTCACAAAAAAATGCCTAAAAAGGCCAGCAGGGTTCTGCACCTTCAACAAAAATGCCCTAAAAAAGGCTAAAATGGTTTTGCATCTTCACAAATTGCCTCAAATGCCAAAATGGTTTTGCATCTTCACAAATTATCATAGTTGGTTCCGATCATTCACAAAATGCCTAAGTGGCTCTGCAGTGTCTGCACCTTCACAAGAATGACTAAAATGGTGCTGCATCTTCCCAAAGTCAGAAAAGCACAGCCCCACCAGATATCAATCTCCCCCTGGGCTGCACTGTAAGTTATCTATCCCCTTTTTTTGGTCTTTTAATGGTGGGGGGGGGTGGGGGGGGGGGGGGGAGGGGAATACATATTCCCTTTTGTTCCCCCCTTCCCCCCTCCMCCCCCMCCTCCCTGTGGAGGGTTAGGCACTGGTTTCCTAACCCTGGACTCTGGTTCGAATCCCAATAGTGAACACTGACTCTGGCTCGAATCCCAATAGTGAACACTGAATAGTTTCAATAAGAGTGCGATTGTTCATCGTGCCGATTTACCTTGCCTGTGTGTACTACTGCTTACTTGTGAAAGAAAGAAAGAAAGAAAAAAAAAACAAACAGATTGTTCCAGAAAAATTGCCCCTGTATGCCCAATGGAGCGGCCAGTCCTGCACATAACATTAATGATGCACGCCAGATATAGCCCCCTGAATTATGCACACGCCTTCATGCAACCCCCTGAATGGTGCCAGCCCCTAGCCCCCTAAGCCTCAAGCAGCAACAGCATTTACTGCCTCCACTCTAGTAGAAACTAGAAGGGTTATCCCTCTAGTTTACTAGAGGGTAAAGTTAACAAATGACCCTTCTCACTCCCAGCCACGCCCTCCTCTTAGCACATGCACCACAACAAACACTACAACAATTGCTGCAACGCACTACTAGTCTTGCTTAAATCAGCCCAACAATACTTCACCCATAATAGTTGGAAAGAACCCATGAGAGAACGACGAGTGAGCGAGCGAGCGAGAGCGAGAGCGAGCGAGCGAG